CCGGCCCTTGCCGGCCGTCCGGCAATAACTTCCGAACAGACTGACTTCAATAAGCATGACATGAACATAAGAACATAAATATACTGAAAACATGAAGATTCATGCGAAGGCATTAGCTATGGCCGCGGCGGGCGCATCGTGCGCCGCCGACGGCGTTCGGCCGTTCCACGACCGAATCACAATTATCCTCGGCAATTCTAATTTAACTGAACTTGAACATGACTTGCTGAACATGATAACACATAATTAATTGGAGAGTTGAACTTAACATGTAATAACACGCGAGCGGTCCGTGGTGCGCACTAAGTGTGCGACCACACCTCTTCGACCAAAACTCCACCAACATGACTACTCATCCGAACACTTAGGCCAATTTAAACATGATATTGCAATTAAAGGCTAAACATGCAAGATTGGTTCGGAGAAAATAGCTCATAACATGACATGGACGGCATGGCTACGGCTTAACACACATGACGCGCGTGCATGCTACTAACGGGAAAATCGAACTAAATAAACATGATAGGCTCGGTCAACAACCGTCGGGAACTTACCTCTTATAAAGCTCAAGAGACTAATCTACTCGAACTCCCGCTCTCGGTCGTGACCCTCCGCGTGCGTGTGTGCATTGACGTGTGCGTGTGCGTGTGCGTGTCCTCGGACTACCGTGCGGATGGTGACGGTGATGCGTGTGGTACTCTCGGCAATGCTCAAAGTTCTCACTAACTCTCTCTATCTCTCACTATGCTTCAGACTTGACATAATAGGAGATGAAAAATGGGACAAAATTTCCAAAGTCTCCTATTTAATCATGAGAGCCGAATGAGTATAAGGTGAGTGAGAGTAAGATGGTCAAAGGTTAGACACTTGTCTCCCATGCTAGAGGATGCTAGGACACTACATGCTAAAAGCCAAAATGGCATGCATGACTACTTGCCTCCAAAACTCACGCCAAGTGCCAACAAAAGGAGTAGAAATGCTAGAACAAATACACACTACATGCACGGCAAAATTGAACAAAATGCACTAAAATACATCACACACACTCACATGGCACTAGAGGACAATTCTTGGACCAAACTCCCACAAACTACATAACAAAACGCACGGCCTTCTAGCATGAATTGGAATCTTGACCACAACTCTTACACTCACACACACACGGCATTTTACACATGAATATAACATTACTTGTCTTATTCTAAATGCTAGAATATATATATATATACTCACGGCAATTGTATACTAATGGGGATTAATTCACCAACAATTTACATGCATGGCCTTTTACTACTAATTTGGTGATTAATTTCGATTAATCACAATTAAAGCTTAATTTAATAACTTAAGCATAACACTTAATTACCAAAATTATTCCGGACGTAAACGGTACGTCGAAAATAATTTCCGGTAATTTCGACTGAAATAACTGAAAATAGTTAATTCCGAAAAATAATATCGGAACTAAAAACATAATTTATACTGATAAATAGTCGGGATATTACATACGCAACATTCTATTTGGATGGAGAGGCCAACGTATGGTGGCAGTGGCTCTCAAGGAT